GATAGAATGGAATCAAGCAACATTCAGGTAGTAGAAAGTGCTGCAGCAACACAAGAACCTGGAGGTCTTGCCTTGAGTAAATCCAAGTCCCAAGCAATGGCCACAGATAGCAATAGCAACAAAGAGACATTCTTCAGAGCAGATAAGATCGATTTCAAGAGCTGGGATATGCAGCTGGAGAAGCACTTGAGCCGGGTTTGGTCAAAAGATAGGGAAGTTCCTGCTCCAAGGGAAGAGTGGGAAATTGATTTAGCTAAGCTTGATATAAGGCATGTTGTAGCTCATGGAACTTATGGGACTGTTTACCGGGGCGTTTATGATGCCCAAGATGTTGCAGGTACTTGTCCATCTTGCTTCCGTTATAGCACTCAATCTTATATTTAAGGTTGATTTCTGTTGATTTAATTTCAGTTGCTTATCTGCTTCTGGATTCTCGTGTGTCAATCTTAAATTTAAGTAATTCGTGCACTTTCACATGTTAGTCTTTCTTATTCGATAGGTGTTTAATGCTTGATATGTCTGGCTAACTAAATGTGGCTCCACCTATTTTAGAATATTGCACATCACTCCTAGTGCTACCATGTCTGTATGCCGAAAGAAAATTAAATTGATATAAAGTTTGAACCGTTTTAGTGATTAAGTATGCTGATGCCGAAAGAAAATTAAATTGATATAAAGTTTGAACCGTTTTAGTGATTAAGTATGCCATCAGCATTGTACCGCTTTCGGAGTTATAAGTGTCAAGCTGAATTAGAAAAATTCCTAATCTAATTAAAAATTAAATGAAAAATCGAATAAAAAATCAAGTCAAAGATCAATAAAAAGACCTACTAAAAGAATTCTAAGCAAATATTCATGAGTCATATTGAGATTTTTCTAAGTAAATAAAATTTAAATTGTCTTCAAACCTTCAAGCTTACCATTCTTCTCTTTTTGCTCCAAGTCATGGATTCTTCATACTTCACATTTAATGCTTGATTTTTGTTGTAATAATTGTTTTAATTAAGCTCAAACATCTGTTAGCATAATATTAAGTTTGTTATCCATCAAAAATCAATTCAAGTAGTTCACCACTCAGGATGATTGAGAATGGGAAAGACAACAGATTTTCCATTTACTTCTATGATCTAGAAAATTGCAATCTTCAGACTGTGCGAATTCCTGTGAGTTAGGGGTAATTTACAAGCATGAGGGAAATGACCAAATGAAATTCAGTGTGTTAGGAAGAAACAAAAAGGACTTTGGAGTTGAAAGAGAAGAATGAAAAGGTGTAAATAAGGTGAATGTCTATTCCTGAATCTGACAAGGGCTAGTGGCTGGTAAAGGCTTCTGTAAGAAGGCCATCTTCCTTGTGGTTGTATGCTCTAAAATTGGAGATAAGGGGAGCAGCCAATATGTTTTGAGGGGATCCTCATGTTCCTCTTCATCTTCCTCCGGAACGTATGAAAATTTAGCAGCCTGAAACATGGACTTGTTTTGAGATTGGGGAGACAAGTTTTCAAGAAAAGCAAGTGGATACCAGTTGGCGTAAAGTAAATTAAATAATCTCAGGAATGTGAGAGGAAGCAATTAAGATAATAAAACGATAGTTATCAAGGGTTCTCTGAAGAAATGCACTGGAGATTTGGTGTGCCTTTAAGAAACAGCTAAACTTCTGCCTGAGCAGTCCAGATGTGATGTGTTCTCATTTTCCAGAAATAGGTGCAGCTATTGGCTTTCTGATCCTCCGGGAAGCTTTTTGAGGATTTTTATGAGAACAAAGAGTTTTTTTCGTAGTCTCAACTCTATTTTTTGGCATTAATTGCTAAATCTGATAGTGTAGGTGATATTAAGGACTTCAGACTGATTAGTGTGGTGGATAGTATCTATTAGCTTACTTCTAGGTCTTGTCTAACAGATTGAGTTAGGTGGTTGGTTAGGTGGCGGGAGACGCACAACATGCTTTCCTGGTAAGGTTTAAAATCCTTGATGTTGTTTTAGTGGCTAGAGGTTGTTGATTCGATTAAGAAGAGTAGAAACTGAGGCTTGATATGTGATTCGCATACTAGAAACGTGCATTATCATGTATCCTGGTTGATGTATAACAAGAGAACCCTAAATTGGAATAATTTTACTTTCTTTAGCTTATTTAGGTATCTTACAAGATAAGTAAATAATTGCACTATTTAGGTAGATTTTAAGTATTATTGGAATTAGAATATTTTAGATTTACTTTTTTATAATTTTTTTATTAGTTGTAACTAATGTTTAAATGCTAATAGCTATCAACAAAGAAGAGAACAGAAAATGAATGATTAAGAATTTCTATTCTAGGGTATTCATTGTTACCTCTCTATTTTTATTTTTCTGGATATTATTTTGTGTTACCTCTCACTTTCATTCTACTTCTCCATATATTTTTTCACATTGATCTTCAATTTCCTCTACTCTTTCTTTATTTTTTTGTTTCTCACTTAAATATCCTCTGTTCTTAGATTATTTGTAGGACAAGTTAGTTTCCGTACTCGTCTTGCATCACTGGTCTTTCCTTATATTTGACACCAAGAAAGGGATTCAAGAGAGGATGGTGTAAATGGATTTGTTGATGCATCTCAATGTAGAAAATGTAGAAAATAATTGTTATTCTAGAATGAAAACAACTATCATCTCCTTTGTCCTTTCTTGTGTACCGTAGAAAGGAGAATAACAAAATTGGTGGTGTGTCACCTACACCAATTTTGAATATTTCCTTACCCCACAAAATCTGGCTCTCTTGCAGAAAAGTTGTTATTCATTTGTGTATAAATATGCTCCTTTGGAGCTGGAAAAAGTAAGCAGAAAATAGAAGAAAAACTTCCATCAAAATAGCTTCAGAATTTCTTTATGGTATTAGAGCTTCTTCGGTTCTGATTCCACATTCAACTACCCCTGTTCCAGCATAATACAACAAGTGTTATGGCTTCTGGAGGTACGTCGTCCTCATCTTCACCTGAGGTATCTTCAGGACTTCTCCTTTCTTCAGCAGTCATGCACAGCCTCGGAGAGCAAGCCTCTTCACAGATTATGGCCACAAGCTAACTGAAAACAACTATCTCCAGTGGTCCTCTTCTGTGCTGCTTTTCATCCGGGGCAAGGGTAAAGAGGAATATATCACCGGAAAAGCAGCACCACCACTCGCCACTGATCCAAACGCGAAGACATGGAAAATGGAGGACAGGCTCGTCATGTTTTGGCTCGTCACCTTAATGACGTCGGAAATAGGAGACAATTTCCTCCTATACGAAACTGCTCACGACATTTGGATTTCTGCCAAGGAGTTTTATTCCTCCAAAGACAATACCGTAGCTGTGTTTGAAGTGGAAACAGCCCTCCACGAACTGCACCAGGGCAACTCCATCGTGACACTATTACAATATTGTTATGCGAAGCTGGCAACGGCTTGATGCGTTTGAAGAGGTGAAATGGGTCTCCCCTGAAGATGCCAAAACCTACCAGAACTTGGTTGAACGAAAGAGGATGTTTAAATTTCTGTTGGGTCTAAATCCCTACCTTGACGATGTAAGAGGACACATTCTGGGTCAAAAGCCCCTGCCCAGCATTCGCGAAGCCTTCTTAGAAGTCAGAAGAGAGGAGAGCCAGAAGAAAATTATGATGGGTGAGGACCGTGTTGTAGCAAGGTCATTTGAGAGTGTGTTGGCTCTAATGATGCATTTCGAGAGTCGCGGGAAAAAGGGTAGACCATTTTGTGATTACTGCAAAAAGCCCGGCCACGTATGCGACTGTTGCTGGCGGCTTAATGGCAAGCCAACCGACCGTCGTACTCTGAAATTTGAAAGCTCCACAGAATCGCAAAGTAACACGGCTGTAGTCGCAGCAACAAATGAAGAAGGGTCTGCGTCTGCCTCAAGTTTTAGAAAAGACCATTTTACCCCTGGGCAACTTGATATTCTCCAAAAGGCCATTAAAAAATTATTGTCCCAAAGTTCAGCTAATATAACAGTCACTCAAAAAGGTAATTATCCTCCGGTACTCTGTTTTACAACATGTTCTACAGGTGAACAAGCATGAATAGTTGATTTCGGTGCAACTGACCACATGACTGGTAATGTTTCTCTATTTAAAGATTATCGTCCTTATAGTGAGTATTTCATCATTAGGGTTGCGGATGGAACTGTATCTAGAGTGGTTGGTATTGGCTCAATTGTCGTGTCACCCTCAATTGTTTTGGAATCAGTTTTCTTTGTTCCAAATTTAGCATATAATTTACTATCAGTTCGAAAACTGACTACTGATCTCAACTGTGTTGTTAAATTTAGTTCAACTTTGTGTGAATTTCAGGACTCGAACTCGGAGAAGATGATTGGCAGTGCTAGTGTGCATACCAGACTCTACCTCCTCCGTGTTGAACCTTCTAGTAGACAAGCTCCAAATGTAGTATGTACTAATTCTATTTCTGTTAATAGTACTTGTGACCATGAAATCATGTTATGGCATTCTCACTTGGGACATCCAAACTTTATGTATTTAAAGAAAATGTTTCCGTCATTGTTCATTAATAAAGACCCTTTATTATATTGATGTGAAACTTGTCAACTTTTGAAGTATGTTCGAAATACTTTTTCTAGTATCAAGTATACGTCATTTAAACCATTTTTCTTTATTCACAGTGATATTTGGGGACCTTTTTGACTCACTGACATATCCGAAAATAAGTGGTTTGTATCATTCATTGATGATCACACAAGGATCACTTGAGTATTCCTTATGAAAGGGAAGTCAGAAGTAGGAGCCATATTTCAAAAATTTCACAAAATGATCAAAACCCAATTTGACATAACAATACAAGTGTTAAGATCTGATAATGCTTGTGACTACTTTACATCAACCCTTAATAGTTATTTTGTTGAAAATGGTATAATTCATTAGAGTTCATGCGTCTTTTCCCTTCAGTAGAATGGTGTTGCTGAGAGAAAAAATAGACACATTTTGGAAGTCACTAGATTCATTATGTTTGCTATGAATGTACCAAAACATTTTTTGGGGGAAGCTGTACTCACAACCACTTACTTGATAAACAGAATGCCTTCCCGAGTCTTGAAGTACCAAACCCCATTTAATCTTCTCTCAGAATCCTTTCCACATTCCCATTTCCTATATTCCCTACCATTAAAGGTTGTTGGCTGCTCCGCATATGTGCATGTTCACTCACACCTTCGGAGTAAACTTGATCCTAGAGCCCTTAAGTGCATTTTTGTGGTAAACTTGATCCTAGAGCCCTTAAGTTCATTTTTGTGGGTTATTCTCCTCATAAAAAAGGATACAAATGTTTCTTTCCGGATACTCGTCGGTTCTATAACATTATGGATGTTATCTGTTTTGAAGATAAACCATTTTATTCCAAAAGCGACATTCAGGGGGAGAAACATACTCGGGAATGTCATATTTGGGAAGCTACCATTTTTTCACCACTTGTCCACACACACCAGATATCACCCACACAAAATGAGCCTAAATAAGAAAGTACATTACCTACAACAAAGGAGTTACGTGTCTACACTTGGAGGACAAGGCCCAAAAAGGTAGTGTTCCAGCAGAGACTGAGTTCTACCATCACTCGACTCCGCCTCCAACCGTCCTGGACCTGACTGGTAAGACTATTACTACTGATGATGATTTACCTATTGTCTTGAGAAAAAGAAACAGATTCTATACTAACTACCCTATACAGGATTATTTGTCACTTGGTAATCTGTCTATAGAATATCATGCTTTGGTAAACAAACTAGACGAGAGCTCACCTGAGCCCAAGAGAGTTCATGAGGAACTCAGAATTCCAAAATGACGAGCAGCTATCTAGAAAGAAATGAGAGCTCTTGAAAAGAATGGGACATGGGAATTGACAGAGTTACCTTCAGACAAGCGCCAGGTAGGATGTAAATGGGTTTTCACAACTAAATATAATCTTGATGGCAGTATAGACAGACACAACTCCCGTCTGATGGCAAAGGGGTTCACACAATCATATGGAATAGATTATCAAGAAACTTTCGCTCCTGTAGCCAAGCACTACACGATACGGATCTTATTTTTCTCTTGCAATAAATCTAAACTAGCCCTTGTTCCAATTAGATGTGAAGAATGCTTTTCTTAATGAAGACTTGGAGGAGGAAGTGTACATGGACATCCCTCCGGTTTTTGAGACAAACGACAATTCTCACAAGGTGTACAGACTCAAAAAGGCACTCTATGGACTCAAACAGTATCTAAGAGCATGGTTTGAAAGATTCACAAAAGCTGTCAAGCAAGTGGGATATGAACAGTGTCAGTCAGATCACACTTTATTTGTCAAAGACTGCGACTCGAGTAAGAAGTCTATCTTAATAGTTTATGTTGACGATATTATAATTACAGGGGACAATGGTGAAGAAATTCAGAAATTAAAAGAGTTCCTGGCCAAACAATTTGAGATAAAAGACCTAGGAATACTCATATATTTTCTAGGCATGGAGATTGCACGATCAAAGAAGGGAATTTCCATGGTTCAACGGAAATATGTACTTGATCTCCTAAAGGAGATCGGAATGCTCAGCTGCAAGCCTGCAGACACACTCATGGATTCTACTGTGAAACTTGGCAAGAGTGAGGGTGAGAAGTTAACTGATAAGGAGAGGTATCAGAGGTTAGTTGGAAAACTCATATATTTGGCACATACAAGACCAGATATAACTTTTGCAGTCAACACAGCAAGCCAGTTTATGAGTCAACCAACTGGCACACACATGGGAGCTGTGTACAGGATTCTTAGATATCTAAAGAAAACACCAGGACAGGGCCTATTTTTCCAAAACAACACAGGCATAGAAATAGAAGCTTATACAGATGCTGATTGCGCTGGTTCAATCAATGATAGGAGGTCAACCTCAGGGTACTGCACCTACGTCTGGGGTAACCTTGTTACATAACGAAGTAAGAAGTAATCAGTGGTATCACGGAGTAGTGCAGAATCTGAATTCAGAGCACTTGCTCATGGTATATGTGAATATGTCTAGTTAAAGGGAGTATTGCAAGAGCTAAACCTGACTCCAGGAGTGCCCATAAAAGTATGGTGTGATAATCAATCAATTATCCGAATGGCAAAGAATCCAGTCCATCATGATAGGACAAAGCATGTGGAGATAGACCGGCATTTCATCAGAGAGAAGATCGAAAATAGTGTTACAGACATCATTCATGTTCCCACAGATCGAGAAGTTGCTGATATACTAACCAAAGCTTTTCCTAAACATGTATGTGAAAATATTATATTCAATTTAGATATAGATGTAAACTTAGATTGAGGAGGAATGTAGAAAATGTAGAAAATAACTGTTATTTTAGAAGGAAAATAGTTGTCATCTCCTTTGTCCTTTCTTGTGTACCATAGAAAGGAGAATAACAAAATTGGTGGTGTGTTATCTACACCAATTCTGAATATTCTCTTACCTCACAAAATCTGGCTCTCCTGTAGAAAAGTTGTTATTCATTTGTGTATAAATATGCTCATTTGGAGCTGGAAAAAGTAAGCATAAATTAGATTAAAAACTTCCCTCAAAATAGCTTCATAATTTCTTTAGTTTCGTTCTATTTTAATCAATGGGGCTCAATCAAATTTTGTCAAGTCTTTAGAGCTTGTCGATAGGACGAACCTCTTTCCAGCATTTCTCTTTATTCTGGCAAAGGAAGTGTTTAATCACTTTATTTTGCCAATGAGCTTCGTGCTTGAGCTTGTTTAACGTAAGAAAGCACAAAATGGAACTGTAATAGAAAAGTATCTGAAGGCATTTGATCTTCGTTTAATATAACTTTGAGATGTTTGGCTCCAAATCTTGTATATTTTGTTTGAAGTCCACTCTTTTCCTTGATAGGGATAATCTAGGGAAAGTAAGATATTTGTCGCCCTCTTCTGTGTAAATTTTCGAGCTTGATGGTAATTCCTTGGTGTTTTATGAATGAATTTCTTTATTTTCTCAAATATTTGTTTTGTGGTACCACTCTATGTTTAGTAGTATATTTTATTATTTAATTAGTTGGTATTATATAATTAAGATTTTATGAAAATAATAATGTTATATAATTAGAAACTTAGTAGAATAAAAATTTCCTTAATAATATGATAGAAATTTTATAAATACTCCAAATATAACAACGTTAAGAGTGAGAAAATAAAATTATTTTTTTTTTTCCAAAATCAACACCCTGTTTTAAATGCTAAAAAGTCTTTGTCAAGACCTCTTTTCTAATATTTGGTACCATGCATATTTCTTCATCTGCATTTTTTGAGAAACATCATAGATCTCATAATACCAAGTTCGATGGTACAAATACTTTTTATGATGCTTAATTACTAGAAGCATCTAGGGTGATGACAACTGTATCAGTAAACATTACAATCTTTGTACAGTAGTATATCTGAGAAAGTGAATTGCTCTTCTCATTTATTATTGATGGTTAAGCGGCTATTTTCTTCCAGATATACTAACCATTTTTGCTGTTACTCTTGGTGCTTTAGTGAAAGTATTGGATTGGGGAGAGGATGGTTTTGCCACAGCTGCTGAAGCTGCTGCACTTCGGACATCATTCCGGCAAGAGGTTGCAGTGTGGCATAAGCTTGACCATCCAAATGTTACCAAGGTGAAGATTTATTTCTTTTCTCCTACACTAGAATTGTCTTTGTTAATTTGTATTCTACCATATCATGTGGTTTGGATTTTTGCATTTAGACACAAAACACTTGTTTATGTCATCATTATCTACTCAATGCGGGGAAGAGGGAGGGAGATACGAGAGAGGAACCAATTCAATTAGATTTGTTATCTTTGACTTGCTATCGTGCTATTTTTTTATATTTTCTCAAGGTTTTTCATAGTGCTGTGGTAAGTACTGTTTCCTAGGCTATTACGAGGTTGTTATGCACATGTATTTGTTTTTACATTTTGTTCCTAATTATTTATAAATTAAATTACATTTTACAGTTTATTGGAGCTTCAATGGGAACGTCTAATCTTAAAATCCCTCCAAAAGATGCTACAAGTGATGGGCATAACCCCCTTCCTTCTAGAGCATGTTGTGTTGTTGTTGAGTACCTTCCAGGTGGGACCTTAAAGAAATTTCTGATCAGAAATAGGAGGAAGAAACTCGCCATTAAGGTTGTTATTCAACTTGCTTTGGACCTCTCCAGAGGGTGAGTGTAGATTTTACAGGTTAAGAAGCTTGCTCTTGGGATTTAAATTAATGAATAAACTGTGCTGTCAGGGTTTTAGAAATAGTGAATAAGCTGTTGTCTATTAGGGTTTAAATCAATGAATTTTGGTTTAAATTTGTCTATATTTTGCAGCTTGAGTTATCTTCACTCCAAGAAGATTGTACATCGTGATGTAAAGACAGAAAATATGTTGCTAGATACCCATAGAACTTTAAAAATTGCCGATTTTGGTGTTGCTCGAGTTGAAGCTCAGAATCCAAGGGACATGACTGGGGAAACTGGCACTCTTGGATACATGGCCCCAGAGGTATGAGCTCTTATTTATATATGGAATTATCTCTTATAATACAAATTTTAACTTCAAAATTTACCAAAGAGTTTCATATGCGCACTTGGATCTTTTAACATGGGAATTAAAGTGGTCAAAAGCATTTGTTCTTAGTTCTTCACACTTTTTTTTCACTGGATGAAAGTTCTTTCCCTTAAAAGTTTGAAAGGAATTCTTAGCAGAATATTTTGTAGGTACTGGATGGCAAGCCTTACAATAGGAAATGTGATGTCTACAGCTTTGGTATATGCTTGTGGGAAATCTATTGCTGCGACATGCCTTATCCTGACCTTAGTTTTGCTGAAGTTTCATCTGCGGTTGTCCGACAGGTATGTTTGATGTTTCAGTGTGAAAATTTAATCTATGAAGCAGTTTTTTATACCATACTCACTGGTGCAAGTTCTGCACTTAAATCTTAATTAAATAGATAATGAACCCTGAAACTTGCATTTTCCTTTATACCATTATGAGGTTAAATGGAAAGTATGAAAGACAGGCCAGGAGGTATGTATTGATCTTTGGAAAATTGATTCCTAAGAAACTACGTGGAAAATACATAGCTCCTGGCATGGTTCCAATTAGAAGACACGATTTTTATCATGTTTGAACGAAGAATGTTTGAAACTCTGTTTTCACAGAATTTGAGGCCAGAAATTCCAAGATGTTGCCCCAGTTCATTGGCAAGTATAATGCGAAAATGTTGGGATGCAAACCCAGAAAAGCGACCAGAAATGGATGAGGTAGTGAGGTTGTTAGAAGCAGTAGATACAAGCAAGGGAGGTGGGATGATACCGGAGGACCAAGCTCGCAGCTGTTTCTGCTTTTACCCAGTGCGAGGTCCATGACATTTGCTTTCTCCATTGGATCATTCATACATGCTTTTTGTGCATATCAAGAATCAGATTAGTATACTGCAGTTGATTTTTTATTAAGTAGATCACCAATTTCTGTTGCAAATTAGCTATAGTAATTTTAAGGTTTAAGGTTTTATTTGCTCTGTTATGTTGCCTATATCTATATATATTTTTGTCATTTTCTATAAAGAAATTTTGAATGGAATATTGCCATTACTTTACTGTAATTATATTGGTTGGCTTGAAATACTCAGGATTCATTACAGTTACTTAAAATCTATTGGTGCCTCATGTTCTGTTTTATATATATATATATATATTTTTAGGTTCAGTAGTTCACAAATGAAGATTGAAGTGGGTTTACTGTTTAAAGAGAACCAATAAAGCCTGTAGTAGTGTACGGTGACATTTTGGCAAGCCATGTCTTGTTCACGGATACCCGCAATGTCTATTCATTCCATTTTGAGCAATTTTTTTGTCTTACTAAATTAAACTATTATATTTAATGGATTTATTTTTGGTAAATTAATTTTTTAGTTAATTAAATTATTAAATATTGTGGGCATTTTGGTAATTTA